TGGAATTGCCTGTGCAATCCCAGAAGCCACACTTACTTTACAGTTGCTTCTTTGTGGCATCAATACACTGGATCACTTATTATGTGAGATTCCTGTTCTGATCAAGACTGCTTGTGTTGAAAAAGAGACAAATGAACTGGCGGTTTCTGTGGCATGCATTTTCATACTAGCTGTTCCGTTATGCTTAATACTTGTTTCTTATATTAGTATCTGATGTGCTATACTTAGGATTAAGTCTTCTGAGGGAAGGACAAAGGCCTTTGGTACGTGTTCCTCTCATCTTATACTAGTTTCCTTATTTTATGGCCCAGGAATAAGTGCGCACCTTCAGCCTCCCTCCTTTATCTCAAGGGACCAACCCAAGTTCATGGCTCTTTTCTATGGTGTGGTGACTTCTACACTCAACCCATTTACAATTTGAGGAATAAGAATGTAAAGGGGGCATTAGGCAATTTGGCAAGAAGGATTTTATGTTCTAGGTGATAATATAACAAATAAAATTATTTAATAGTTAGATTATGTTTTCCTGGTTGAAATTTTTAAACCTTAATAGTATTTTATCATTTATTCTTTGAAAAGTTTGTACATATATTCAAGGTATTTTTATCTTATTTAAGCCCCATCTCCTCACTTCAAATCCCCTCCAGGATCTCTTAATCTCTTTTCTTCCTGACTTTATGTCTTCTTAGTTGTAACAGCCTCCTGAGTCCAATTAATGCTGACCAATTAGTGCACGGGTGTGGAGCTATCTCCTGGGTCATGGGCAACCTACCAGTGGCCAGACTCCCAAGTGATGATTTCTCCTCTAAGCAGTCACCAACTGTCAATTCCAATATCATGTTACATGTTTTTCTAGTGAAATATCACATATTCTTTATAATGTTAAAATATAATGTGTTTGGGAATATTAACAAGGGATCTTTTTAAATATATGAAAATAGTTTTTGTGTTTTGATTGAACTGAAATAATAAATATTTAATAGTTTATAACACACAATAAAATTACAAACTGGTTAATGTATTTACAACAACAACATGATAATCATTTATTGGTGCACTATTCATTGATATCACCTGAGGCATTTTCATCATGCGGAGGAAGCTTGGCCCAAGTATGTGAACATCCCAAGTACCCTGTGCATTCTTGGCAAAAAGTGGTATATTATGATCACACACAATTGCTTTAGATAGTAGTGTATTTTAATACTTTTTAAAATATAATTGTATGATTTGGTGTGGGTTATGTGGATGTGCACCTGTCATCGCACACATTGAGATCAAGGACAACGTGCCTAAAAGAGTTCTTTCTTTTCACCTGGTTCATCCTTGGAATTGAACTCATGTTCTTAGGCCTGGCCACAAGTACCTTTACCTAATGAGCCTTCTTTTTGTACCACTAGTGAATTTTAATGTTCATGATGATTTTTTATCATCATGATATTTTTAAGTTCATTTTCATATGTAGTTATTTTTGTGTGTGTGTTTATCAGTATCCAAGGAATTTTATTTACATATCAAAATATGTTGGACAAAGATATATTTCTTGACATCCCTGCCAAATACTACGAAGAAGAGTATTTGAAATCAGTAAGAGAGCAAAGAAGTAATGGTAATGACCGGCAACCTGAGGAATACTTCTATGCATTGATCATAAATAATCAGAAATGTATTTTGAATATAAAAGAATAAGTTTGAGAAATAATTATAGTTTTGTAATGAAAATATAATTAAATATTTCAGTGATTGTAATGAATTCCTTTTGATTAATTCAATTTGGGGATGCAAATGCTGATCATCATTTGCATCAAAAGTGGAAGGTGGAGCTAAAGAGATGCCCAGCTGTTGATAGCATGTACTGCTCTTGCAGAGTACAGGTGTTCTGGTCCCGATATTTGTGCCAGTTTGACACTCCAGTTCTAAGAGATCTAGTGCCGTCTGTCATTCTCAGACACCTACACACATATATATGTGCTGATGACAGACATGCACACATACACATGAATTAATAAAGATAATTTTTTTAAAGTTATAAGTGTTAAAATTTAACTTTAGAATTCACACTAAAATTCTAAAATCTTCTGTTAAAAGGGAAAGGTATCAGAGCTGATTACTTCATGAGACTCTTATGAAAAACATCCTATCCTTTGCACCTTTCTTTCTTCTACCACAGTGGACACAGTCATATTCATCACAAAGACACACAAGTAAAGAAAAGCCCAGAAGCTAAAGATGTGCCCTTCCAAGGCAGTAAATACTTCAGAGCATTTTCTTCTACTCCCAACTTTCATAATCATGAGAAGAAATTGCTATGACTTATACATGATGCAGTGCTGAGTATTTTGGCTATAGAGGCACAGTGCATTAGGAAGCTCCAGTATCATCACAGCAGTAGGTGTAGTACATGAGATCAAACCAAGAACTTTGCAGTTTTTAGATACTGAATTGATTGATTGAGCAGTCAGTGTATTTTCTATTTAGAAAGGACTGTAAGAGAAACAAGAGAGAGTTTTTGTTAAATGTTCTAGGAAGCTTTATGAGTTGATCAAGTCCTAATTGAACAGAATAAGGAAAGGGAGTTCTTGTCCTGAATAGTAATTGGATGAAACCCAGGGCCACTCTTAAAAAGGGCCACTTAGAAGTAGCTAGTGTTGGTTTTAGTTATCAAAAGTCTTGGTAAATACATTTACCAAAATATGTTTAGATTGTAAAAATTTTAATTAACTTTAAAATCTTATTCCTGGTATGGCTGGGGGTTAAGGTGTTAGGGTTAGGCGATTAGGGTTAGGGTTAGTATTAGGGGAGGGTTAGGGTTTGGGTTATAGTTAGAGTTAGGGATGGGGGAAGTTAGGGTTAGGGATAGGGGTATGATTAAGGTGTTAAGGTTCAGGGTTTTGATTTAGGGTTAGTGTTAGGGGTTATTTTAGGGATTGGGTGATGGTCAGGGTATGGTTCAGGTTGAGGGCCAAGGCAGAAGTTAGCATTAGAGTTAGGTGGGCCTTGGATTGATGCTCTATGTTAGGTTTAGGGTTCCACTATTTGACCAGGACAAATAATCACCATGATGTCTGTGCATCCCTGAGAGTATTGCTTGGCGTCTTGACCACTGTTGTTGGAGAGCTCGTAAGGTCCTACCTTCTCAAGTTTTCACCTCACCTCCAAAGCCAAAAGTGACAGGAGCTTGGCTGCAGGTTTGTACCCTTTCCCACTGTAATGCTGAAGGAGTGACAGAGAGGGTCTTCACTGAAGATAAGGAATCACTGTAATGATGATGGAGTTACAGAGAGGGCCTTCACTGAAGACAAAGCCTCAGAACTAGTGAGGAGATGTGCTGGTGTCTACCACCTCTCTTGGAATGTGGGAATGGCCTTGGGTTCACTTATTTCCCCAGAGGCTGACCAGCCAGGGTCCCTGTAGTCAGATGGGACAGGAGTCAGTTTATCTCCACTGATCTTTGTAGGATGAGCCTCCTTGGAGACTAGAGACACCCGGTTAAGCGATTGTTAATAAACCCTCTTGCTTCTTGCATCTGCTGGACTGGTTAATTGAGTTGCGGGGTTTCTCCCTCTTGGGCCTGCATCCAGTGGGTGAGGGTCTTTCACTCTTACCAAAGATGGCGTTGAGGATTTTGCCTTAACCAAAATGGCAGTTATTCACATGTTTGTCTTTTTCCAGAACTGTTGTAATCTGGAGTTACAAGTTTTTACAGATTTTAAAGCAAGCACACATACACACAGAGACATAAAACAAGCATACTGTGGTCTCATTATCTACACATATGTTAACAGACAGACAAAAGTTTTTTTGTTCTTTCTTTCTTTCTTTTTTTTTTTTTTAGGAAACCATTGTCAGCTTAAAATCCAGATGTAGGCTGCAGTAGCCAGGCAAACACACAGCTGTTTCCATTAAAGACCAGATTAGCAGATGCTGTAAGGGAGAGCAAAACCACAAAGATGGAAAACCTATGCAGTTTTAGAGTGGAAGGATCCATTGTGGAGAGAATCCCAGCATGATGCAAATAGCAAACAGCTAGAGAGGCAGGGAGGAGGAGCAGGGAAGGGGAGTGGGAGCACAGCATCCAGAAACCATGGGCATATGAGGGTCTTGTTTCTTTCACGCTGGCAAAAATTTTTAGGCGTTAAGGGACCTAAGCCGTCAGATAGTCCCAATTTATAAAAGATTTTGTAAAAGGCAGCCCAAGGGCATTTGGAGATCAGTCCTTGAACTGTAAGCATTTCTTGCTTTTAAGTCTATGCCAGAACTCGGGATTCAAAACCTAGTGCAAAGCATCCACTGTGATAGATTAGACTCTGGGTCAAAAAAAGAGAGGAGTGAGAAATTTCTTGAAAGGATATGTCTTGATGACGGAAGCCCACAGAGACAAGGCAGGCTTTTGTCCCCCAGAATAAGGCAGGTTCTTGTCAAGTCAGGTCAGGGACCTGGCATGGCTGTGGCTTCAACAGGATGGCCCAAACCTTTTTGTCTTCCTGTCGGCCTAAGGCTGACCTCCAGGTATCTGTGACGACAGATATATCCTGTTTTCTCATCATCAGGGACCCATCTGGTCTCAGGGTGATTATGCTGGCCTGAGAACAGCTTGACTTGGTTTGGACTATAGTCGCAACGGAAATTCCACGGAGCAGGTTGGGGGTATCTGCAAGGGCGGATGGGCAGGGGCCTTCTCAATCTCTTCTGTCGTGACTGTTGTGAAGGCTAATCTTGGAAGTCAAACTGGCTACAAGTGGAAAACTGGTGAGTCACCTTGTGTCAAGGAAAAGGGGAAGTGCCTCTGGAGAGCAGGAAGATAGCAGGCTCTGCTATTGGAGCCAGGGACAAGTGCTATGGAAAGGCATCTCTGCTGATTCAGTAAAGGGTTTTCAGATGAAAGGCAGGGTCTGGAAACATTGTGCTGTGACTTTAAGCACAGTGTAACCCCATGGGAGGTGCTCTTGTCACTCAGGCCTCACTAGCCAATCAGGTCCTCTAGGTGACCTGTCAGTCCGAAATTGTGCCGGGTTCTTCCGGCCCTAATTTCAAACTTTCAAGAGAAGCTGGCGCCGTGGTTTTGTGCTGTGCTTTGAGTGTTGCTGCAGGCAGCTGAGCAGGGAGCGTGGAAAAGCTGGAAAATTACGACATGGTGAGCTTGGGGCTATCCCCAGACTGGGAGGAGCGGCTAGGTGAGCTACGGGAGTCAGTGTGGTTCATCTTCCTGTGGCTGTGTGGTAGCCAGTGACCAGATGCAGAGTTCAGTATATTTTTGCCTGGGCTCGCATCATCCAGCGTGCTTCTGTTGGTCCTTAATACTCCAGCATGGTCTGAGTGGTCCTGCATGTTCTTTGTATTTCCTGGGCCAACTGGCAGTCTCTGAGCAACTTCACTCTCCTGACTGCGTCTGTGCAGAGCATTGGGAGCCGGACTGTGCTTTGAAATATCTTAGTTGATATCACCATGAAATGCCGGTGCTCTTAGTGCGTGTATTGACACTCTGTAACACAGATTTGCCAAGGTCGGAGAGTCATGATCTCTCTATTGTCTTCTAGAAGTTCTGCACTTTGAACATTTGACATTTAGGTTTAGGATCCACCTGGAGTTAATTCTGTGGAGCTTGTAAACAGTATCTCCTGTATAGAGAGTAGCACTCCGCTGCTACTGTGATGTAGAAGAGTAGGATTGATGATATAAGGACTTACCAGTTCTTAAGTCACAAAGTAGAACTCAGGGAAGGGTGAGCTGCATTCCTCCAAAGCTAAGTGGTATGCTAACCGCACAGGTTAGAGATTAGTATAAGGTGTAAATGTTTGTTCCCCAGGATTAACCAGCTACAGTCCCAAACAAAGGAGATAACCCTGTTTTCCAACCAGCAGAAATACCCATCCCTCCATTAAAAAACCATCCTCTTAATGCTGCTCAAGAGACCATTACAGGGTCACAACCCCATTAAGTCCTGTTGTGCCATAAAAGTATATTAATTCTAGAACATTGGCATGTCTAGTCTTTTTGAAAAGTGATTTGGAGTCAAGGTCTCTTACGTTGATTGAAGTGTATTCGAACCCAGTCTGTAGCCCCACAAGGCATTGCCCTTCTTGTCCTCTTGACTAAACACTAAACCACGGATTGCATGTCTGCAGCACCACAGCGTTCTAAAATTCCCAGTTTGAGCCACATAGTGGACTGTCCATTGCAGAACAGGGAAAGGGTTTGTGTGTGGAGCATGGCTTCTCCATTCAGACAGAAGAGGAGGAACACTGCCGGGAGGAAACAGATTAGATAATAGCTAAGTCACAGACTGGAGCTGAAGGCAGTGAGTTGCAGGGCTCTCCATTACAAAGAAGGACTGATGGGGCATGGTGAGTGACTTTCTCTGTAATTTTCCTGCATGTATTAATTCCTTCCATGTGAATGAAGACAGACAGAATTGGTGGGTGTACAATTTAGGGAGAGTAGCTTGAACTACTGAGTTTTCAGTTTCCAGTTAACAAAGCTATGCAGATGTGTACACTCCTGGTTGACACAGTTAAGTCAGCTGAGATGTTTGAGAAACAGGCAGTTGAATGTAACTCCATGTGTTAGATTACAGCACTCAGTGGCTAACATTTTACATGGAAGCTGAGGAACCTCTACCAGTGCTGGTCTGTGCCCAGTGTTTCACAACTGACCTCCTGTGGGCATACCACACCTAGTCTGCCACTACAGTCTCTTATTAATGGCATTCTCTCTATCAGGGAAGGACCTACTCTGTATCATAGTCACTATAGATAAGTGTTCTTGCTACTCTTTTTATCATTTTAAAACATCAATTATTGGTATTATTTTTAACGTTCATTTTATTTAAATGCATTGCTGTTTTATTCAATGTTTCCAAGTTAAATAATTTCATTCTATTTTTTTCTTAAGTGCTGTTTATTTATTTATATGTTTATATGAGTTTAGAGCAGAGTTTTTCAACCTTGGGGGTCACAGCTCCCTTTGGGGGATCAAATCACCCTATCACAGGATAGGTCTAAGCCTATCAGAAATGACAGATATTTATACTATAATTCATAAGAGTAGCAAAAATATAGTTATGAAGTAGCAGTGAGCATAATTTTGTAGGTGGGGGGGTCACCCCTTCAGGAGGAACTATATTAAAGAGCCACAGCACTAGGAAGATTGAGAACAATTGGTTTATACTAATGTCTCCTGTAGATCAGGTTTGCATCATACAATGTAACTGAGAACTGCTTTGAACACCTAATCCTGCCTCTCGTACCCAATGCTGGGAAGACAGTCCTGCAACTCCTTCCAAGCTGGTCGTTGACTGGTCTGTGGGAAGGAGAAATAGATCAGTGAATGAGTATCCTTCAACTTCTGTAGATTTTAATGTGAATTTACAAGTGAAGTGGGACCTGTGGAAGAACTGAGTTCACTGACCAACTGTTAGGCCAGTGTAGTCACAACAGACAAAGGATGGACAGGAAGGGTGGGTAAAAGCTCTCCTGCTGTGACGGTAGTTGACATTAGCTGTGTGTAGGGAGGCAATCAATTTTCGATGTTCCATAAATGTGCTGACTGGCCATTTCATGGATCCACAGACTATGGATGCAAGAATCTATATAAAGAATTGAACTTATCATTAAACCTAATTACTGTAGTTACAGTAATTCAAGTAAAGTGGAGCTGGATAAAATGGTGTGGCCCTGCCTTGCATGACTGTATTTTCCAGGTTTAGGATGTATACTCTGAGAGAAATGATGTAAATAGTGAAAGCCCCTGAGGACCCCCTCAGAACCCGCAGCTGGCCTGTTCCCATGAGAACATCCTGTTTGCTGTTGCATCTGCTGGCCAGGATTATTGAGTCTGGGGACTTCCCTTCAGGACTGGGCCTTGACTGGTCTGTGAGAAGGAAAAATAAACCAGCTATTGAGTGACCTCCAGTATCTCTGACTTTTAGTGTGTGCTTATAAATGAAGAGTCATCTGTGCAAGAGTTGAGCGCATAGACCAAGCTTGAAGCTGATAGGTTCACAGTGTGGAAAGGGAGGACAGGACAGTGGTTGAGAGCTTTCCTACTTCAACAGTAGCTGAGATTAGCAATGTGGACGTAGGTGATCAATTTTAGATGTTCCATAAATGTCCTTATGGTCACTTCTTGGTGTCTGCAGACCAGGACAAACAAGAATCTGGATAAAGGACTGACCTTATCATGAAGCCAAATTGTTATAGTTACAGTAGTTCAACCAAAATAGATCTGAGTGAAATGTTGTGGGCCTGCCTAATAGGACTCTTATTTTACTGGTTTTAAATATACACCCTGAGATAAAAGGTTTGAGAAATCTTTGATTGCTCTAATACAAGTCCCTAGTTTCTGGAACACATGGCCATAAAGCCTGTTTCAACTTTGAAAATAATTTTTTTGAGATTATAACTATATCATATCCACATTCCTTTCCCAAAGCCTTACCATGACCTATTATTATCTTCTAATTCATAGCCTGTTTTTCTTTAACAACAGTTGTTAACGTGACCTGCATTTGGCTGCAGGATTTCCCAGGTGTGAGGCGATGGGTTGGCTGCACTGCACATTGAGTGTGTAATGGAAGGTGCACACAAAGGACCCTGTGCTTTGAATGAGGAACAAGAAAGTGTATGAATGTCTACTAAAATGCAATTTTTCTGGACTAGGGCCCTCTCTACTGCGCTGGAAGGGCAGAGCGAGAAGTGCTGTGCTGTCTGAGTCATTTGATTTCTGATAACCCAGTAGGGGAGCTGATAATTGTTGGGTCCAGAGGGGTCGCGCAAAGATGAGAACACCACCAAGTCTAATAAACCAGAAGCAAACTTTATTCCAGAAACCAGATCCTAGGAAAACCAGAAGCAATCTTAAAAATAAAAAATAAAAATAAAACACCACGGGGCACAGAAGCTTATCAGCTAGCTGAGACCACAGCCAGTGATGGTGTTTGTTAGGCTGGGGCAAAAGGCCGGTTTCTGAGCCCACTTTTTATAGTAGGGGCACCAGGCATTATCTCTGAACAAGAGAAGTTTTACAACCTTGCCCTGACCCTTGGGTTGGTCAGCAGAGACCCTAAAGAGGGGAGTGAGTGCTAATGTCAATGGGTAATTAGGCAGCCCTCATGAAATATGTTTCAGGGGAGATTACAACGAAAGTCACTAATTGCAAGAAAACAGATATCTTTAGCAATAAGTCAGAAAAGGGGCTGCTTGTAATACTAGAAGGTTAATAAATTAGGATTAACTGGATCTTAGGCTGAGAACTTCGGAGATAGCAGAAAGCTTTTCACATTATCTCAAGGTAAAACTTGAAGAGTCTAGACATAAAAAAATAAAAATGTAGATTCCAAAAATAAGAATGTAGAAATAAAGAAATATAAAGTTATAAGTCTAGGAAAATGAGAACAGACTATCAGCAGCTTTCTCAGCAGATCAAGGATCATTCATTCACAGTGAGCTATTTTCTCAGATGCTGGGGAAGCATAGGTCATTTTACAACTGGCTGTTTTATTTACAAGGCCAGAATGTCTCTCTTCAAATTGAGAGCAGTGTCCTGGCCATCCGTGATAAACGGCAGATGTGAACTGAGTTAACCTTTACAAGACAGATATGTGACCTCTGGATTAGAGGTCTCTGTTATGGGAAACTGGCTCCACCAGAGGAGAGCCATAAGACCCCAGGTTACACCCGGAGGTACCAGGAGACAGTGGATAAATACAAAGGTTTAATTAATGAGCTCTGATAATGGATGTTGTAAAGTATGGCAGTCAGTATCTGAAGATTTACCTGGAAACAGTGTGAAAGGCTTTTCTTCTAAATTCTCAGCCCAGGAACCAGTTAATCCTACTTCCCCCTTGACATTAGCACTCACTCCCTTCCCTAGGGTCTCTGCTGATCAACCCAAGGGTCAGGGCAAGGTTGTAAAAATTCCTTTACCCAGGCCTAATGCTTGGTGTCCTAACTATAAAAGGTGGGGTCAAAAACTAGTTGATGCCACAGCCTAACAAACACCGTCACTGGCTGTGGTCTCAGCTAGCAGATAAGCTTCTGTGCCCCGTGGTGTTTTATTTTTATTTTTTATTTTTAAGATTGCTTCTGGTTTTCCTAGGATCTGGTTTCTGGAATAAAGTTTGCTTCTGGTTTATTA